ATCATCATCATCATCATCATCATCATCATCATCATCATCATCATCATCATCATCATCCCTGGAATTCGAGTGGACCCAACATTTGGTTTGTGTGAAGAAGAGAGATGTGTGTTGCCCATGCCCATCACGTTTCGCTTTGGCAGTGTAATGATGTCGTTCGCAGTTTGAAGGTGGTTTGCCCTTTCCATTGCTTTACACCATGAGTCTCTTGGCCGCAGCATTGGTCAATAGAACAGTAAGACACGTCGACTGGCTTTTCCATCAGTAACTGACCTACCCAGGAAGTCCGTAGATCTGCCCCACCTTCTTTATCCTTCTGCATGATGTTTTCCCCCTTCAATCTCCGGCGGAGTCAGTTCAGAATCACAGGAATAAGCCCTGTCCACCTCAATCAGAATCCCTGTCCACCTGTTTTTACCCTTCCTTCAGACTCACCGGTTATTCCCTTCAGATTCCTTCCGAACCCGAACCCACACCCGTCGCCGTCGCGGTTCGCTGCGTTCGGCCCGATCGCGGCAATGCGTCCGGTGGCCATGGGTCGGCATGAGTGAAGAGTCTTCCGGTCCAATGAATGGTCTGGATGGCAGAAGGCATAGAAGACCTCATACCCAGCCAGTTGCGTCGACCAAGGTCGATCCACGTCATGCTGTTTCGGGGATTCCTCTAGAGAAAATCGTTGGTCCCAATACCAGTAACAGCCGGTAAAGGATTATCACTATGTTTTGAGAAAGGCCTTTACTGACTATCATCCACTGCGCCCTAGTACTGGGATACACCCAATTTTGTGATTTTCTCCTTTGGGAAGTGAGCAAATTCGCCATCCAGACCCAGTACAACAGTTCCTTTATACAGATCACCAGCCTGAGGTCATATGGTTTTGAAGGGCTGCTTCGCGCTCTCCTACTTGAAAGTCACATGCCAGCCGCTGGGCCTCCCAAGGCAAGGTCTTGCACGAGGACCACAGAAAATGGCAGGAGAATCAATTGCAAACGAGTTTGCGGCGGTGCATGAAATATAGATGACATCTGGAACATGTCAAGAAAACCGTGTTGTTTTGTGTTTGCACCTATTTGACGTTGAACCAATTTTCTGTTTCAGCAATGATACCTGGAGCTGATCAGCATGTTGGTTGGACTTCAGTGCTGATCCACCGCCTGGACCGGTGGCTCCATGAGGAGAGCGACAAGTATCTCGCTCACAGGATGGACAAATATATATATATATATATAGAGCATGTGTATATTCCATAGATTTCCTATAGTCTAGAAAATGGCATATATAGAGCCCTACAAGCATATAGGGGTCCACATATGCCGTAGAATGGCATAGTCATCCACAGGGTGGCTTTACGGGTTTTAGGATTCAATATGTGTATGCTCGCAGGTTTCAAGACATCACGGCGTCCTGAAATCCCAGGGAAACCCGAAATCAATGCATTTGGCAAGAGGATGACTTTATTGTCTAGAGCCAAGGCCATAAGTCCAAAAGACTCCCTGGTTTTGAGAGTGCCTGTGAAAGACTCTGTTAAGAGCTCTAAGTATTCCTCACGAGAGTGACTCTTTATTTGTGTGAAGTGCCTGATTTGCTGTGCAATGTACTCTGACTTTGCAGCAAAACATCACAGCATTTGTTGTAGGTCCAATGAATCAAACGCATCGTCAAACAACAATGTTTCGCTGCAACGAACCTCGTTCTTCGGACCAATGACTTCTCGGGTGATCCTGTCAGTCGCGGCGCTTGCTGTGGGGCAACGCTGGTGGGGGTGATGACTGCCTTGGACGTGGCGGCTTCAAACATGAGTGGCTCGGTGAGTGGCGCGCGCAGCCACGATGGAAAACTGGGCATCGCGACTAGTAGCAAGGGCATAACTACTAGTAGCAGGAAGCTACTAGTAACAAGGGCATCACTACTATAGTGACAAAGGGGTTATGATGGATTACTATGGATGGGTTGCTCGGCGCCGGGTCAATAAGTTATGGAGTTATGAACGACTTAAGGACCAGAAGCGAACGAAGCGTCACATGATGTTTGGAGTCGACCTCCTTCGTACCTGTTTCGGGTTTCATGGAACTCGTCGAGTTATGAGGTCCCCATGGGCAGCCATACATTCAGTGGAGCTAAAATCGTTGTTTACACCAACACACCAAACAAAACACACCCAAAATAGAACAAACAGAATAAGGCCTTTGGATATTATGTGGTTGCTTGTTCTTTTCACTTCACAAAGAACATTCATTCATGTACCTTTCTATCATCCTCGAGGTCATGGAAGAGTGTGAATCAGGAAGTGCAGAGGGTTTAGCGTTGGTGCTGGGTCATTTCCAGGTTTCACCACCCCTTTGCCCAAATTTACAGTACTTGATATGGGTGCTAATCCTATCTAATCCTGTATGATTCAATTTGTTTTGATTGTTTTGCAATATAATACATATACTGTATATATATACTATACAAACAAAACATGTTAATACTAATCGGTGCTTATCAGAAACGTACTTGCACCCTACAGCCAATCTTGAACCTGTCCATTTCACATACCACCCCCGGCCGCCCGAGGTTTCCTTTTCATCACCGTGGCCTTCTACACGATGCTCAAGCGACTCTACGTCAGTCCTTTGAGACCGTTGTCAGGAGTTGGACGCGTTTGTTTCTGCGGGTGATAGTAGCTATAGCTGGATCAACTGCGCAGAATTGATGCCTTTAAAATTCAAACCAGCCAAGAGGCGTAAGAGGCTAACAGGTGCTTTTGCATGTTGCATAGTTGGAAGCTCTATAGGAATCCCCGGCCGGGCAAATGCTCAGGGAGCAGGAGGGAGTGACGGTGTTCTGGGGTCGAGGCTATCCATCTTCCCCATGAAAAGATGACGCCCTTCGGAACGACCACAAGGAGTTCCGTCCCCGAAAGCTCTTCTGGCTTTTTTGCGGATTTGCAATTGTTTGTTCTCGGGTGGATTTGGAGGTTCGTGGCTGAGTCAGTCCAAAGATCAACTTCCCGTTTGGCCTCCGTTTTCGTACCGAACCGCTTCGGTTCGGTGGGACGAGCGGGGCCCGGGTGCCCTGGTCGGGTCCAGCTGGAGGTGTAGGGTTTGAGTTTGAGTCCCGTTCAGAACAGCACCCGACTCCGGGGGTGGAAAAATGACAACTGAATTAATAAGGAGTTCAAGAGAAGTGTTCATATGATGTCCTCGTCAAGACTCTGGGCTCAAATCTTAAATGATGATTTGATATAGGGATATACAGGGATTGGCCATAAGGAGTCTTGGGGATTTGATGCGCCATCCATGACTCCTTCCCCAGTTTGCTCCCCAAACCAGGCGCCTGGGCCAAAGTGGGAAGGTCTTGAAAGGCCTTGAAGAACTCAGGTCCGCCTCATTGATTTTCATCCTGGCCGCGCACTCAGCGTTTCGAACATCTCACCGCCTGCCGGGGCGTGAAAATCGCTCTCAGAGGGGTTGCCGGACATAGTTGGAAAAGCAAGACTTGGTCATGTAAGAGGAAAAAACAGGAACTGGGCAACTGGGCATCAACAATGCAGACAGTGATTAGAACACACACAAGGGCCTGGACCTGGTACTTCGCATGTTTGGCAAGACTTTCCTGCAACGGGCTGATCGCTGCAGTTTGTCAAATGCTTGCTGCTTAGGTCTTGGGTGTCCTGATACGGATGGAGAAATGTGCGGGGCCCGAAAACCACAGCCGATACGGATTCGGCTGGACATTTTGGATTGGCGTTCCTTTTGGGAGCACGGAAGAGACACCCTGGGAATTGACAGTGGCAGTCTCCAACGCAAGGAACACCCTGACACCACGCATGTGTGACAAGGACCAGTGACAAGGACCCATGTTTTCCACCCTTGGAGAACGATGACTGGTGCTGAAATGGGTTTCTGCGAAGAAAGAACGCAGTTGGTCATGTTCAAATTCAGGCCATGCATGCAGGACCACAAGGAAGAGCATAGGAGTGCCAGTTGGTCAACCTATATAGATGTGGAGAACTGAACGATCACAATTAGTCATCGAATTCCCAGAGTCAGGTGCCTTTGGGTAGGAAGCGGATACCACGAGCTTTAGAGGATGATCAACTCCCCAGATCAGTTGTTCAGGAGGGTCTTGGCGGGTGCCTTTACTGGAAGTGTAGGCCTCACCCAGAGTCACCTCAGTCCATGTCTTAATGCGAGCGATTGTCAGTGCACTGTTCAGTTACTCCCAAGGGAACTACCGTAAGTGATGATCAGGCCGGGTCCATGTAACGCTACGGCGCGCGCGCGTTCGGGGGACCCCAAGGGGTCAGGTTCGCCCTAAAAGTTTCACGAGAAAACATGAGAACACGTGGAATACTTTCAGGGCCCCCTGTTTTCTTAGAGGTTGAAGGAGTGTCCATTAACCACCCCTTAGACTTAGGGGGCCCTGGTGTGTGTGTGTGTGTTCTCATTTGCGAGAAAGTCGTCTTTGATGTCTGGGCCATGGTCCACATCCATGGCATGGATATGCATGGATTGTTGGATACTGTCAGCGATGGGTGGGCTCTCTGAGGTAGCTTCGGGATTGCTGGAACCGTCCTTTTGCCTTGCCCTCAGATGAAGAATGACAGACAGATGGGCTGCTCTCCGAGGCGTCGAACGAACCACACAAACGACCAGTCACCCTACCCAGAAAAGGTGGATCACCTGACAAAAACAACAAAAACGTTTTGTTGGTTTAAATGTTATGAGTTTTCCCAAACTGAAATCCAACACCCTAGAGCTCCAAGTACCTCCTCAGAAGGATAACTATTTGGACCCTCCTGGCACCCACCCCAGTCCCACCGAACCTCAGGTTCGGTGCGACAACGGAGCCCCAAACGGGACAGGTGGAGTTCGTTCAGTTCACCGAACTCGTGGCAGGGTTCCAGTGTTCTCCATTTGCCACGCTGGCGACCGAACACCAGTCGATCTCCTGGTGACCCACAGATATATACCTAGATCTTCGTATGAGGCACTTTTCCAAAGAAGTTGCCTTTTGCATCCTTTTGCTATATACCAAAGTCCACCAAATTGATCTGGGTATCGCTTGAGCCCCCCCCAAATCCAATGCGTCACACCTCTTCACCCTCTCACCTTCGCTCTCGCTTCGCTCTACGAGGATCGCGCTGGGCATCTTCATGACTTCCTACGGCGAGACGGAATTTGATGTACAAGGCTTCTGGCTGGTGATCAGCACGGAGCCTTAGAAACAGTCGGGCGATGCCCGAGTCGGTCGGTCTGAAGAACGAACACCCTGTGTTGAACAGACCCAGACCATCCATGAGAGTCTATAGTTCATGGTCAACCTACCAGAGCCAAACGGGCAAGCCAGGTGAAATGACCCACCCATTTTGGACACCCAAAGCGCTATTTTGGGGATCGAGGGTTTGGCGGTTTGCCTGTTCGAAGATGTAAGAAGTAGAGATTCTTTATTTTCTTATCTCATGCAGAATGGTGCTTGGAAGTAGATGTTTTTGTTTCAACGTCCTCCAAAGATGCTGATCCAGATGAGTTCCTGTGGTTTTATGTCACAGGCAAATTAGTTGATAGGGTTATAGGATCGTCGTGTTTCTGTGGATATTGGCGGCTGGGGCAGGTAGATGGACCACTACCAGATCTACAGTATATAGGCCGGTAAAATCACAGACTCCTCCCAACTCCCAAAACTCACTGCAGAAGCACCCATAGGGATCGTTTGCTCCCTAGGGATCCAGTCGTACCTTCTCAGGTACGGTGATTGGACACACTGTTCTGTAGGTGGAGGGTCTAAGTACCGAACCTGAGGTTCGGTACGACTGGATCCCTCCTCGGGGCTGAGCAACATCTTTACCACCCACCAGGTCACCCTGCCTCGCCTTCCTCACGCCTTGCGTTCGTCCTTTCGAGGCTCCGAGCTGTTTGCCGCGATGCGATGGCTGGCCACGCAGAAGACCTTGCATGCCAGCGGCCTGAGCGTCGCTCGGAAGGAAACGACATGGGTGGAGCCGTGGGCCTCCGTGGCCAAGCGGCAGCGGATGATTTGTTTGGTTCTTTTGGGACTGGGGATAGCTGGTAGTTTGCTTGCCGCTCAGAGCAAAATGACTACAATCATTGAAGTGTGGTTCAAACAGCAGCTCCCTTTGGTATACTCACTCTTAGACTTAGACCCTGATTCATAAGGGGATTTACGACCAAACCCCGGTTCAACCCTTAGCAGATCTTAGCAGGACCTTAGCGATCGTCACGAGGGTACCACATTCAATAGGCCGCCGCATGCCTTGCGGCCGCGCCACCGGTGGGGCCTTTGGGGACGGGACGACCTGCGGGGTCCCGGTCGCGAAGAGGGTCCGCTGAGGGTCCCGAGTTTGGAGCGAAGTCCACGACCTGTCTGGGACTGGCAATCCAGGGCCCTTTTGGGGTGGGGTGGTTGAAGAGGGGTTAAATGGGATCGGCTTTTTTGGACCAGTCCCATCGGGAGTGTTGGGGGAGTTGCTGGGATTCTTGGGTAGGGTATTGACCCTTGAGGACGCAGTCGAAGGTTGCTCAAGTTCGTATCTGGCATGCCAGATTGGTCAGACTGGTTCATTACTACGTATATATTAATAAGTATATATATATATATGAATCCATCGATGACATGGTCTGGGTACCTTTCTTTGGGTTTGGTTACGTTATTTGTGCTCTCTTGGCCTTGACCGGGTAAACATCTAGGACCAGGCAGCTGGCAAGTCAGGAAAACCAAGCTGTTTTGTCCCAAAAACCGTGGGGCCGGAACCAGCAGCACCTGGATCTTCCCAGTGACCTAAATCGATCCCTTAAAGTCTGAGGTCACGAACAAGCCTGTATACGTTGGGTCACCAGGTCGTTCGCTCTCAGGGAAGGTTCTGTTGCTGTGGCTTCACTTATGGGTTTTTGAAGCTGGAAGGATCCAAAACGAGCTGGAAGGAGCTGCATGCCTAAGGCGATGCAGACGGTGCTTTTCATGCCAGTGACCTCAGCGGTTCAACTTGCTGTCGGAATCCGCGAGCCACACTCAGTTGAGCGTTTGGCTTATGTGTTTGTTGTTTTTGTGTTTTCAATTGTGAGTTTGCACGGTTATGAATTCTTAAAGAAGAAGGATCCGCAAACCTCTCCCAAACTCTCCCAAACAAGTATTATCACACTGAACCATCATTCTATCGCATTATATCACATGAACAAGTATATGTATAATGTGTATGTATATAATATTATTTGTTTCTGTTTAAGTATCACATTATATCACATTATTATTATTATCATAAACTTGTTATTAAGTGTTCTATTTGTTGCACTCCTTCGTTGCTCACTGGGCGTTGTTTTTCACCCTCAGTTCACTGGATTCCGTCCCTCCACCGGGGAGTGCGTCCCTCACTGCGGGACGCACGAGCGGTGCGTTCGCTCGCAGCCAGGCGATTCCGGCCAGAGACCCCAAACAGTGTGTGAGGTCTGTAAGCAGAAAGTCTAAAGATCGGTGAACAATAGGTGAACCTGTTTTTGTGTTATTGTCTTTGTGTGTTTTTGAGCGCAATTCTAGTTCTCCATGGTGTGGCTTGGGATCGGCGTTTGCTTGGGGCGTGCTGGAGCAGGTGCTGGTGTGGGTGCTGCTGAGTGTTTGCCAGGGATGACATCATGTCATGCCAGGTATGGCATCACGTCATGAAAAGGATGACATCATTGCATATTATCCTCTCATATTTGTCCGAGAAATTGACGCATGTATTGCCTTGTGGTACACGCATCGTTTCCAATATGGTGTCATGCTAGGAACGACATCATGTCATGCCAAGGCTGACAGGCTGTCATATTGTGCATGACAACGTGTTGTTTCCCTCAGGCACTATGACCTTCTTCCCTTCCACGGTCTATGCCGGTATATTGCATTTATACACTCTACAATATAATCATATCATATCATTTCATATCATATCATATCATATCATATCATATATATATATATATACATGTATCGCATGTATATATTAATATATTAATATATATATATACTCGAGCTACTTTGTTTCACCTGTCAGACACTCCACGTTTGTTTTGGGGGAGTCTTTGTGCAGCTTGGCCCATCCATCCCCTTGTCCGCAGGTCCCCGGCCTCCTCGTTGACCTTGGCCCCCATCGTGTGGTGGCGAGGCGACTCGTCGGGAAGCGACGAAGCGCAGAGAAAGCACCAGGAAACACGGGACAGTCGCACAACATACCCAGTCAGTGGATATGTAACATGCCCAACCTTTCTGTTGGGAGTGGTGGCACCCCATCTTTCACAAGCACACCCCATGCCACGCTGTCTATGGATCTTTGAACTGGGGGACACCAGGACACCCTGTTTTTCCCAGTGAAAACGAACAGAACAACCCCAGTGTTCCGTGCCATTGTCCAGCTGCGCTTGATGGCCAACACCAACAGCCACGGAGGCTTGTAAAGTGCAGGAACAGCAGCTGGCCTCCTTGACAGTCCATCAGGACATGGAGGGTCGCGTCGAGGCGCAGAGCCTGGATAAGCAGGGATCGGAAAAGAATCTGGTGCTCGTGACACGGGTGGGTGATGCCTCCGAGCACACCGGATGCCACACCTCCAAGCATACCCGCCTCCGCTTCTCGGCGCAACAGAGCATGCTCAAGGCAGCCGTGCTTGCACGGTGAAACAGTACTTCAGATAAGAGCTCGATGAACATGATTTCTTGCTTTTGGCGACACGCCAAAAAATCCACACCGGCGGCTCATGACACCAATTAGCCTTCTGGACTCCTGGACATGCAAGAGCTCTCTTCTGCCTTCATGAGACTAATCAGCCTTATAGGCTGCTCCAGGTAAGAACAGTTCAGTCTACTGCAGTTTGACATGCTGATCCCAAGTGCTTTGATCAAGGCTGCAAGTCATGGCGCATTGTTTGTCACTGGACCCGGAAACGTGGTCGGAACAACTACCCGGGCGGGTAGCCGGGCTGTTCGAGGAGGCTCGAGATGCCGAGAGGAATCGTCGTACGCATGTCGCGAGAGGAGGCGAGGTTTCACGGCGACATGCCAAATTGCCAAAGGATCTACACGGTTCGCCTGTGGGGGTGGAAGAAGCGGAGGACCAGAGGACCAAGGGACCAGAGGACCAAGGGACCAGAGGACAAAGGGACCAGAGGACAAAGGGACCAGAGGACCAAGGGACGAGGGAACCATCAGACCAGGACCAAAGGAGTAGGTTGAATTTTATTTTTGATATATGAATTAATGTTTTTTGATAGGAATCATTTTGTATTGGTAGGAATCATGTAGGAGTCAATTTTTTTTTGATCGGTATCCCCTCCACCCACACCGTTTTGCTGGAGTCGGACAAAAAGGCGCTGCCCTGTTCTGGCGGGTACCCTACAAAAACCTTTAGCCTTTCGTCGCCATGAAGGCGGCGACCCTTCAGTGCCAGGAAATGATTTAACAGTACACCATTCTGTACAGCAGCCCTTGGCTTTGCCGCCGGCTTCGCCGAGCATTGTCGACGCGTTAAAGGTGATTTGAAAATCTCCTTGTCATACATCCCGTGAAGCACTATGGCAGACCTTCTAACACCAGATGTAGCAGACCTTTTTTTGTGAGCCACCCGATTCCCTATCTATGCAAACTAGTCGTTTATTCCAGCAGTCACAAAGGGGTGCTTAATGGAGGTTAGGGGTGCCCAGAACATCCACTCACTTAGGGACTAAGCACCACCCCTTTGTGACTCCTGGTTGGATCTATTTAATGATGTAAATGGTTTCTTTGCAAATTCAATCTTCCCCAGCACTCCACCCCTCAATTCCGGCGTGGCCGGGCACCGGTCTGCCGCACCGCACCGCCCGCAGAACGCCACAAGCTGAAACTTTTAGCCGAGCCAAAGGAATTGCAGCAGTACATACTGCTGGTGCGAGCGCTCGGTTGTGGTGGGTGCGGGCCTAACGTCCTAACTGCGGGGGGCAAGTCGCGCAAGTCTTGGAGACAGGTTTCTTTGCATGGTTTGGAGAGGATTAGAGGGTCCATGGACCTTCGGGAATTGCGAAATGCAATTGGTGAACGGTTTGGTTTTAGTGGGATCCCGCATTTCGATTGTCATCATCCACCGGTGACTGGGCGGGTCATTGCAAGGAAACATAAAATTTATAGCACATATATCATAGCAGTGTTTGGCTGGGAGATTGTTGCAATTGCTATGCCTTAAATATAATGTTTTAATATTGTTATGCCTCAAATATCATGTTCACATTGTTGTTGAAGTGAAAGCTGGCGGGTTTTCTTGGATCCTTTGAATGAGATGTTAAGATTTGAAGTTTAAACTGGATGGAGAAGACACGCAGAGCTTCTCTATGCATGAGTATTTGAGACTTGTCCCAAAATGATTTCACAGTCAACTTGCTCAACAGTTCATACATTTTCATACATCATATGTCATCATCAATGTTTATTCCATAACCCACAACAATAGAGTCTTAGAGGGGTGTCTCTTGGAGGGGTAAACTGATCCTTTAAGCATCAGGGGAGCCGAAAGGACCAACGACCTTGAAGAAGAACGATCTTTCTTTTACGTCTTCATTTGTTGGGGTGGCTTCTTTTTGTGCTGGCTGGGGAAAGGGAAGATGTTAAGCCCTGCCGGCGTTGCAGCTGGTGTGAAGTTGAAGTCTGAAGATTGCTACATGACGGCCTCCAAACTGTTGGATTTCAGAGCCCAGTGGTAGATCGCAGAATGACCCAAATGGAGGTCCCTTATATGCTTGGAATCATGTCGCCTTCCACACGATCGAGCAAGAAGTAGAATGCACTAGAAACCACTGGAGTTTCGACCAAATCATATCAAAATCAGCTAGATTGAACAACTATATGGTGGATGGCGGTTCCCCCAAACACCACCTGGCCACCGCCTGTCCTGCACTATAGTAGGATGGAGGTAAGGTTGAGGTCCTGAAACTTCAGCGAGCGAGACGGCCAACGACCGCATAGAAAATCTCATGACTCTTCTTCCTGAGGCTTTCAGGTCAGAATGGACCGACACAGTCAGAATGAACCGACACGATCAGACTGGACCGGGCTTAGGGTAACATCGAACATCGCCATGTGGTCCGCCCTGGCCTTGGCCGCCTGGGCCTTTCTGCCGCCGGTTCTGGGCAACTACCCAGCGATCACGCCGGAAGAGGTCTGGTGTACCGTGCCCAACTATCGCCATTTGGAAGCAAGCTATTCACCTCTGTGGAAGCAGGACATCAAGTCACCAAATCATTTAGTCATCATCCGAAACAAATCATTGTAGCAACCAGTCTTGCGAGCAACACAGGGGGCAGCTATGACAGGGTCCTCATCTGAAGCCCTTTTTAGTTTTCGTCAACTTGACACTTGCCATGCTGTGAAACCTTCCTGAGGCTACTACCGCTGGACAGTGATCAAGGCTCGTGGATATCCCATTAGTGAAAGCCTGGACTGCAGCTATTCCCCAAAGCCGGATGGATGCAGCTGCAGCGTGTCCAGTGAGTGCCTCTCAGGCGGCGACTCTCTCCTCCCACCCGGAGCATGTCGTTGTTTAGGGCTTTGGGTCAAACATGGTCAAACATAGCTATGGGTCCCCCCCCAGACCCCTGGTTCACAGCCACCCCCTGATGCCATGACTGTGGGGAACATTTGGGCCTTTTGGATCCACTCAGGCTTTTTGGATTCATCGTTTTGCCCCTACTTCCAGGTAGGATACAGATCTGATGAGCAATAGCTGCTATTAGCTGCTGATGAATTTGATCCGCTACATTTTCCTGGATCCTCCACCTCTTCCACCCATATATACCATTATATACTAAAGGCGAGACTGAATATCCTGGCAGCGAATATTATACTTTGCACCCCTGTTCCGCGTCACGCTCAGTCACGCCCGCGTCACGGTCCATCCTGCCGGTCCATCATGCTCTCAAGCACGTAGGAACACAAACTCCAATCTTAAGTTGTTAGATTTTAGATCGATCAATCGATTTCACACTCATGGCGCATTGGTTCACGAGTATAGAGGTGTCAACGGTTGTAAACATTGTGGCAGATGTTTTGTTCTGTGTTTGTTCTTTTTTAGGCTAGAAGCTTAGAACACATACCAAGTGTCACTAGGCTTGAATTCTTGCCAACAGCTTTTGCAAAAAGAAACATACTGGTTTGGCTCAGCCAGTGCTTGAGCCTTTTCGTTTGGTTTGTGGAAGATCCATCCACCCGAAAGCTCGGACGTCGCGAAAAAAGCAAGAGGCGAGCTCAGACCCGTCGTAGGCTACTGCATTGGTGGCACGAATTGCAGCTATCCCATCTATCAAGTGGCTGAATCTTCGGATGGCATTTCGAGCTTTTTTGAGAATCAACCAGTGACCCTCCATGTCACATTTGCCGATCAGTTGGGGTGCGTCCCATGGCGTGTTTGGATTTGGTTGCCCATGTTGGTGCTCCTGCATGATTATACAATATTATAGTTATAGTCATATACATCAAGTGTTCATAGACTGATGTATCGCCGGAATCCTAGGTGAGTTGCTAAGCCAAGCCTAGGTGTGTGCCCTTCTTGTTCTTCCCCTACGCCACGGAATGTCCTATTCATTGGGTACATAGTTGAAGTCCTTCTTCACCTAGCGTAAAAATACTTGCTGGGGCTCGGTTAAGCAGGGATGAATACCCACGATCTTCGGAATTCAATACTTGTAGAGGGCTGTTGTTTGAATTTGGCCAGATCCCAGATGAAATCGAAGGAATTGGAGTTCTATCGTGGAGGTTCAAAAGTCAATACCCAGAAGGTGAATGACACGGAGTTCGATGCTTATCGCGAGACTTGGCTGGGACCAATCGTGGGCGCAGCCTGCGGCTGGCAGATTTTGTTGTTTTTTGAGCTAAAATGACAGGATTTGCGTCCCAAATCTGGAGGTATTGGTCGTGTGAGATTGATTCTTGGACAAGACAAACTCATCCTACCATCCCACCCTTCGCCTTCAAAGACCATATATAGGAACCACCTGGTTGTTGTCGTATATCGTTGCAAAACGCCTACCCATGGGGTCGAGATCGGCATCTCTTCCAGTCGACGGGTGGGTGGTGATCAGCTGAGGTGGTGAATATGAATGAGATACCACAGACCTGGGGCATTTGGGAGCTTGAGTTTTACAGCGACACGAGTCGCTTTGCGGCATGGAGCTGGTGTAAGAATTGCCGGAGCTGTACATAGATCGAAAGGAAGACGATTGGTAAATACATGAAAAGAGCAGACAGATCAGACCCAAGGTATGCATGTTTTGAGCGTGTTGTGTGTTTAAGTTTGGGGTTGCCATTTAATGGTTGATGGAATCCATGTCCATCAAAGGTCCTGTTGCTTCTCCACAATCCCAATGCATCATTAATCTGTTTCAAGTACTTTCAACCTGAAGGAAGAACAACCAATCGCCAAATAACTAACTCTACGGCACCAAATTTATGAGAGGGTGTGTTTTTAGTGTTATCATGATATCCGGCTTTCAGTCTGACTCAGGTTTTGTTGGGAACAAAGTAAAGTTGCTTGCGGTTTCAAGGAATTTTCCCGGGCGCACAGGGACCCATGACGGCCCGAAAAAAGAACCCTGAGACTCAGACTTCCAATATGGTCAAATTCCATTGGTCTTTGTATCAAGAAGACTTTCGTTTTAATCCCTATTCAAACCCAGGTAACCAGACTTGGCTCGATCGATCGATCGATCCACACCATCTCTGGACTTGGCTCCGTGGATCTGGTCCGCTCCACCTGGAGGTTGCAGCACTCTGATCAATGGCAACGGCACTGTGATCTCCTCCTCGGCCATGGCTGCCGGCTTTGGGCATTCCATCGATCACACAGCCCCGTTGGGCCTCCATGCGCCTAGCCACACCTCCCTAGCCCTCCCCCCTTCTCGGGCGAGTAGACGGAGGTTTGAAGCGTCTGAAGGACGTAGCCAGGAACTGGGTGGATCACCTGCCCAAGCTTTTGTTGTTGGGGAACTGGTGCTTTTCACCCCATCTTTCACGAGTAACAGGGAACCGTTCGTTCGTTCGGTTGAACCGTTGAACCATCTATTTTCCAAGCGACCACCGGCGATGACGGAGGCCAGTGTAACGAGGTCCCAAAAGTCTCAAACATCTCAATCATGTCTCGACACAAACGTCCACACAACCAGTTCGGACCCAAACAAGGACCCTGTGTGGGGTCTCACACGTTTAGGGTTCAGACCCGTTGGGTTTGGAGTTTGGACCCAACCAGTTTCGCGGTTGTTTGGAGTAACCGGACACCGCGAGTATCCGCGAGTTCTGGACCGAATGAAAGAGAGACCCGGACCGCATCCCTGTGCGAGCGATTGGTTGCGGAGACATATATTGGGATATATTGGGGTGATGTGTCTTTTTTTTCCCGGGTCAATGCCCTGAGCATGGGGAAGTTTAATCGTTTTTGAGGTTCATTTAAGAAGCAATCCAAGGAAGACATGTAGCACGATGAACGTCTGGGTCGTAGGGTCTAGACTTCGCCCAGCGGGCCAGTTCGCCGCGAACCGTGAGCCGGGTGGCGTCGAAGGAGTCGAATGACGTAGAGGTTCCATGCGATGGCTCAACCCTGCACCGACTTCGTCGGACCTCCTCAGGTTCGGTATGACTGGAGACCTAGGGCAAATTAATACTCTTTTTGGTCCCCTTGTTATAGCGATGACCACCACCCTAGTAGCAACTCTTACAGGTGCCAAGCACCCCTTGCAAAGAGGAGGAGAAGCCACGCGAAATGCACGGTGTTTCATGGTGGTGTTCCTGGATGTCGCTGAGGACACGCCCAGAACCTACTGGCAATCAAGGCCAGGCTTGGGCAAGCTTGAAGTCTTGGTGTGCGGATTTGTCATGAAGTATCGAAGTATTGGATCTGTTTGATTCCCTTCCATCTTCATAGACTGACTCTAAGAACAAGATACAAAAATAAGGATCAATTCCTCCATGTAATACAGTAGGTGTTTTGGGTTCCGTTTGTTTGTTTGTCCCACACGCAACTGTGGTGTTGCAACTGTTGGAACCTCGAAGTGAGGCCATTCGATCCTCCGATGACCTTTGACTTGCATGGGCCTGCCATGTATGCCTTCGATGGAAACCTCACGACCAACTGGTGGGCGGACTGTCGGCCATGCGCGGCACAAAGCCAATGGCTGGGCCTATCGTTCGCAGAAGCGCAGAAGGCCGACCCTGCCCGTGCGTGTTTCTTTTGTTTGTAAAGTAGCGTGCTTTTTTTCAGCAGGCTAAAGCTGGAAGAAACCAACCGCAAACCACGTACTGTAAACCAGTATGTTTTTTTGCATGGAGGCAGATCCAATATCAATGACCATGAGGTGATGTCAATGAGATGGGTGTGATGTTGATGAAATGACGAGGTGATGTTGCTCCACGCACGCACCAATTGACGCCAAAGTGCTGAACCAGTGACCATAGTGCACTCCGACTCACCTTCTATGGAAGTGGATAACGACAACACCCTGTTTCCAAAGGAAAGTTGTTTTCCTTTCAGGATAATGCCATCCACTTCCATGTGAATAGTTTCATCAGAGTGTAACAAGAACACCAGGCAACCTATGCGGGAGCAGAGCAAGATACAAAGAACCTTGGGATCTTTTGACAGAAAAACGCACCAGTCGGCTTCAGTTGGGACAGGGGACATGTTCCAATCCCAGACCATCCATGGGACTGGAATATATGCACTAATTGTATAGGCAAATAGTCCATACATGTATGGTTTGGGAATGTGTTCGATCAGAAGGCTCAGCTTCACCCAGACACTCCATGTATGTCATGCTTGGTCACTTGGGGTGGTGCCAGGCAGTCTTTCTGGGGCAGCCCTCTTCCAGTCCGCAGGTCTTGTTTGACGGTTCATGGTGCAGAATGGGCTCTCTTGCCATGTCTCGCCTGTTCACGTTGGTGGCTCGGTTCATCATGCCAGGTGAAATGCATCCGAGTGGTGCAAGACAAGGATCACGACTATGCGTCCTTCAGTCCTTGGCTGTTTATTCGGAAGAGCCGCAAGGGGAAACAGTCGGTGGAGGAAGTGGAAAACCACTGGCAGTGTTTGGAAGTGGAGTATTCGGAAGTGGAAGTTGAAGTTGGAGGTCCATATGGTGATCCAGATGGTAGAAGTGGAGTGAACACCCACTTGTTTTTGTTGGTCTTCGCATTTTCATGGTCATCCGAGTCGAAAGCGCGGGCCGTGCCATCCACACAACCATGAGTTGTTTCTTTCTGGTGGTGACCCGACAGAGATGTGTTTGAAGAAGTTGGAAGATGCTAAATCGCAGGTCTTATACAAGGTTGGGGTTTTTCCATGATCAAACGCTTGCAGACCAGGACCAATAGCCAAAATGGACCAATGGAGACCAGCTGTCCCCTTCCCCTGATTTTTGGGATTTAATTGTTGTCTGAGTGTGGGGGTGTAATGCTAGAAGAAAACTCCATGTTCGTGATAGTGCACCTCTTTCCTTACACAAATACTGTATAAACAAGTATAATCAAGTATATGCATATAGTTTGTGAATCTTGCATGGTAAAAGCTGGTACCCTCTGTCCAATTTACAGCTGCTTTTCGGCTGATAGTCTTTGTGCGGGACTCTGGTAGGTGAACCGTGCGCGCAGCTGGAAGCGTTGCAAGCGAAGCGATGAAGGATGTTCCATGAATGGCGCACAAAATGAAGTCCAAGACGTGTGGCAAAGTGAAGCACTTCCCATGATTGTAGAAGCTGCTCCTCCCACATCCAACAGGGAAGTCCTCCTGGAGTTCATAGCATCCAACGAAAGGACGATACACAAAGACATCAGAAAGTCAGAAGGCACAAACTGACCCCAGAAGCCTTCTGCCAGAAGCCCTGCCTAAGTAGCTTCTCAGGCGATAGTTGGAGCTTAAGTGTCAGTGTTTTCTGTGGTGACATCCGTCAATTTAGCCTACAACATATTGTTTGATTCATATAGTTCCTATCCCTTCCCAGCAGCTTTATATAGGGCATGGAGACTGATGACCCAACACCCATCGGAGTGCAGAGGGTGCGTCGAGCCGCGCGTACGCAGTGCGTTCCCTTCTCAGGCTTGGGCTTGGAAGCTCGCAATATTTCGACTGGATCCTGGGTACATGTGACCACCTTCAATGCTGCGGCTTGGAAAGACAGAAGCTGCTTCTTCGTTTGGTGAAGAAAGAAAACAGGATTTGGCGAGATAGAGCATTGAGTCAGGTAAGTAATTTGTAACAAAGCTTTAAGACTTGCTTGGCGAGAATGTTGGCAGCTATGGTCTTTGTGGTCTTGGGCAACTGTCGATACGTTGCAGTAGCAACATGTGTTTTCCTGCTTTGACGTTTTGTGCCCCAGGCTACATGGGCCTATGGAGGCTTGGAGCTGATGAATTGAACATGGAGTCGGTCTGTGGGAAGAGGTCCAAACATCTGTGCAATCTTCCATTTTCTAGGATTTTTGTTGATCTTCATCTTCCCCTAGATCAGGATGTGCTGTTTGATTCATTGAACAAACCAAGAGTCACAGAGCTCGGGGTGGTTCCGAAACGAAGTGGGGGTGCCCAACGCATCACATCCACAGGTTCATGGGACTGTGACCAAAAACCACCCAGGCCCTCCATGTGACTCCTGGTTCATATCTCTAATTGTTGACCTCTGATTAATAAACGCCCCCAGAAGAATCTCAGCCACTTTCCCTGCACTGATACTTTCCAAGAGTCAAGGGATGAAGGGCGGACGTAGACATAGCGTCGCTCGCGCACGTCGTGTCGCTCGCGTGAGGCGTTTGGGAGCAGCTGGTGGTGCCTCAAGGCGTCGCCTTCTTGTCAGACCTTTCGCACGCGCGGGCGCTGGACGGCGACCTGAGCTCCACGGTGGCCCGGAGCGACGTCGTTTTGAGGGAGGCACTTGGGGTCTTGGCAAGAAGCCTAATTTATTTATGTCTCATGTCGATTTCAATGGGCACCATGTTGTCCTCAGTTTCTAGAGAGAGGTATCCACTCGTACTTGAAGGCATATATAATTCCAATGTGCTTGGATCACCTGAATCACTTTGCACCCGCCCCGGGTGATCCACCTTGGTCCTCAAATATTGGCAAAGCATCATGATATTGATCGTCTTGATACTTGGACCGTGAAACATGTTGGAGGTCGATTCGTTTGTCCCATTTTCTCGGAGTCCATCGAACGATGTGGCGTGCCACCCTCCGGACATCATATACCAAAGAAGTCGTACGTGCATCACCTTCCTAACCTTTTTGTTGGGGAGTAGTGGTTTCTCCACTTAAACAAGAACAGGCGACGGCGGGGAGTCCGAACTCCAACGACGGACCCGGGACGGTCACAACCTTTACGGTGGAACGACGGACCGTGGAACGTGGGACGAAGATCAGTGAGGTCGTGGACTTGGTGGGTGTGGCCATGGAGTTCGACTTCGGAGTGGAAACGGTCGCTGGACGGCTGAAGCATGGGACGGGACGCTGCAGAAGCAGTCGTTTGAGCAACATCATGCTGGCTGGTGGTGGTGTCAGACCAAGGCTTCATGCTACACCTTCTTGGGTGGGTCAAGAGGGTTACTGTATGAATGAGTAGGATATGTTATCCCTACAGACCCTAGGCCCTACAGGCCAGTTGGACCTCATCTTGCTGGAGTTGACCATACAAAACACGACTCTTACTGACGTTCTCAGAACATCTCAGAACCAGGTTTGGACATGGGTCAGACTGGACTTGTAGGGGTTTGCTTAGCAAAACATGAAGGTGATTGAGAGTGTTTGGGTCCAGAAGCTTTGTTTCAACATGAAGGTTTCATTCGAGTCAGGGATGTTCTATATTTGCCCCCAAAAAAACGACCACAATTGAACATGTTGGAAGACGACACTGATTTCGGCGGTCAGACGTTGGCAGTTCTATGTCGATCTATGTGAGTTTGGTAGTTTTACTTACCTGGAGTCTCAGTTCGTACCGCGGAAAACGAGTACAAGTCTACCTTGTGTTTTACAATATGGGGTCATTTTCCCATGTTCTAAGGTACGTACTTTGGAGGGTCCAGAGTCCAGGTATACTTTTGTTTAGGATAATGGGATGATGAAATTGTTTGTGTGACTGAATCTCAAGGAATTTGGAATCAAGGGACGACGACAGATGAGTCTTTTTCTCAACTTTTTGTGTTGGTGAACATGTTGAGGCAGACCTGGCAACACTTTTGATCGCTTTGGGTGTTTGAATATGTTTGAAATTGTTTGAATTCTTGTGTTTTATTACTCGTCCCCACACAGTTCGAGGTTTGTACCTTAGCATTGGTCGATGGAAGCTGGTCCGTCCAACGACCCGTCGGCATCATGCGACTTGCTGGGATGACGGTCCTCGCGACCCTACACTGAAAGCATCTGAACATGCACCAGGCGTCAGGAAGCATCACGAAGCATCACTCAACCCATGTGTGTTTGGACTTAGTGCCCTCCATCCCCGAAAATCCAAGAATCCAAGAACTCAGAAGTTGAGGAGTGCAGGACAATTGTATTCATGTGGTATCACTGCAAGTAAAACCTACAGGGGTCCTGTAAGGGGTGTCTAATTATAACTCCTTAGAGGTTGAGGGGTATCCATTCATCACCCCAAACCGGGGGCCCTGGTATATATCGTCGTGCTTTTGCATTTTGATCAACTCCAGTTTCCATGAGGTCCAACTCACCTGGACCTGAAGAAGAAGATGAATCCTCATGGGACTATTCACCAGCTAACCCCCAGCTTTTTCTGGAATTCACCATGGATTTGCTCCTCTCCTCGGCTTGTTTGCTTTTGGTCGTTGTCTTTTGATCGCCCAGGAGCTGGACGCCTTTCGCTTCGCCACGGCCCTGGAGCCGAGCGACGACCGACAGGTCACGCACGATGGCGTGGCGTGTCATTTAGATGGCCGCTGCTTTAGAGATCCGGTGCAATGGACCCTGGAAGGCCAGGCTCCGTACGACCCGGTGACGCGGTGCGTGATGCTGACGCCTCGATCACCGCGGTGAGCGGTGATCGGCGCGTAGAGGCGGCGCGTATCTCATGACGGAGCGATCGTACCGGGGAGTGATCGTGGGGGGGAGGAGTCTTGGAGGGGGGAGGAGTCTTGCGTGACGAGTGGCACCGTGTGGGCGGTGGCACTGGGCGCCGATGATCAGTCGGATCAGTGAGTTCTGCGAGGATGCTGCAAGAACCCTAACATCTCGTGCACCAGGCTGATTCAGTTGATGAAAAATCCTTGAAGCTCTATAATATCTGATCTTTCCTGGAAACGTTGCCAGGCTTATCTCACTTTGTTGACCTTTCAACCTAAGATCCCTTTCAAGTTTACAGACCGGACTCAATATCTGAGCACAGGCGGCCGGAGGCCTTGGAGCGGCGCCCGTGGGACCGAGCAACCGGGTTGGGTCGAATGCCGCAGGTTCCTTGGACCGTAGCACTTGGGTGGTCGTACAAGCTCAGAGCCTCGGACCTGGTTGGTGCGGCCCGAGGCGGCCCTGGTCCACCTGGGTTGGTGGAGTGGAAAAGAGGGAGGGGACAACCCCCAGGTGAACAACCAAAAAGATGTTCAATAGGATCCTGGAATCGACTGATATATATATATATATATTAGTGATTTCCAAAAGGACATTGTAGGATGGAATCAGCTTAGAGCTTGCTGGTTTCGCTTGAAGCTGGGGGTTAAACTGGAGACCACTGAAGAGCTAAAGATGCGGAAACTTTTGGGAAGTGTATAGCCTCACGACCTAGAACCCGGGCATGAGCTCTGTTTTGGCCTGCATGTTGATTGGGCGCAGAGTTGAACAGCTTTGTGATTTCAGGGACATGCCTTCTGGAGGAGCCTTGTTTTGTGCAATTCCTTTGAGTGCAAATTATGTTTAGATCTTTGCAGTCTTCATCGGCTTTGGTTTGGTAGAAAACGACAATTCCATACAATTCCCGGGTTTGCAAAACCAGGTTTGCTACTGAACAAAACCTACTGAATCTACTAAAGGTTGGCTTTAGGCAACTGTCGTCATCCCAAGGTTTAGGCAACAACAACTACCAATATCCCAAGGGTCTTGGCAACTTTGCACAAATCAGTGTTTGAGATAGTTTTGCTGCAGGAACGCGTCGGACTATTTGACGCCCATCTATCGGAGGACCTGGGTTGGCTTGCAACGACTTACCCACTTGGTGGGGGACTGAGTAGACTGAGTGGCAGCGAGCAGATCCAAACTGGTGCTTTTTGGGCAAGTTTCAAAAACGAAACAATCAATGATTTGTCGGTAAGCTATTAGTTGAAAGAGTTGTTCGACCTGAACGTGGAAGAAAGCACTATAGTACTATTCATATAATGTCACTAAGGACATGCGTCATTGTTTCGGCCATTTGTACCGTCTGTCCCGCTCAGGTCTCCTTGGACATCACCGACATTTGGCCTGACGGCCGAGGGACATGCGCGGTACGTCGTTGAGAAGCTTACAGCTTACGTGGTGTACGTACGTCCCATGGAGCTTCTGGGTTGATGCACAACATTACAGTGAAGATGTACCCCAGGGACGCAGAGATTCTACTTATTGGTCGCAGATGGTTTGTATCGCTACTTCTCCACTGACAAGGAGTCTCAACTGCAGGCACTTCAATCTGAAGAACCTCTGGAGGTTTGGTTGCATGAAAAATGCACCAAGAGCACTGAAGCGTTCTGAGAGGCTTTACATGGCCGCGTCATCATGTTACCTCAAAGCAACTCGAAGCGTGCACAAACAGAGTGACCCACGTCTCTCAAAGGGGCCGGAGCGATGAATTAGACAGATTGTACTCATCATCCTTGACGTTTTCTTGGAAATGAAAGGATGCATCGGACAAGAACCATTGTATTGATACCTACTATGTGGCTTTGTGGACATCTGAGATCTGAGCCTTTCTGAGCCAAAAAACATGGAAAGGTCGAGGCTGCAAACATCTGAAAGATTGTGCTGGGCTTCCTGGCCGTGGAAAAGAAGGCGGTTGCACACGGCTGTTGCACAACGACTCCTGATTTTGGAAAAAACGCATCGATCTCCCGGGCCCAGGGGTTTTGGCAAATGACCAAGTCGTCTCTTGTTTATTATCTACATGGTGGATTTTAGCAAATGTGGAAAGCAAATGTGGAATACACCAAAGGGACGCAGAGGGATGACATTGTCCACTCCCTGTAAGTTGTTTGTTGTCGATGTCTTGTCAACAGGTTCGCATGGTTCTTCGGAAGAAAGGGTTTTGGATCTACCAACTCCAAGAAAGGGTTTACTGAAGCAAGACCGTCTCTGCACCAACAGAGATGGTTGTTGTTCCGAAAAAACAGGTTCTACCTCCCAAGCTCCACGGTTCAGAGCAGCAGTAGTGAACGGCGGTTCGTCTTTCGTGGGATAGAGAGCTTCCTCACAGGACTTTCCAAAACAATTGGTGCATCTAAGACAAGAAATCATACATAATCATACTATACCATGCAGGAAACCACCTGTAGGGGTGGTTCTCCTGGAAAGGCCCGACTCACCCCCTGGACATTTGGCGGGGGGCCCGGCGGAGACCTGCAGGCTTCGTCCGACTGGTACGGATCCCCCAGGTGCTCGCACCAGGCTTCTTGGCGTTCTTGCTGCTTCTCATCGAGGTGAAGCGGCTGGCGGAAGCCTTGTTTAGAGAGGGCAAGGGCCCTGCCCTGGGGGGAGAACCAACACATTCTCAGATTTTGACCATTGCCTCCTGGTTGGGAGTGTCTATCAAAAAGCATTTCACAGCCCTTTAGAGGTTATAGGGGTGTGGTGTTTATTAACCACCCCTTAGGGGGCCCTGGTAGTTGATAGAACCTTACAAGGAAAGACAGGTTATGCTACAGTGCTCACTGCCAAGGTCGTGAAATCTAACAGCCAGACGCTGGACAGCATGATATATATATATATATACTAGGTACAGATGACATTGTGAGTTGTGCAACGACCTCCAAATCACCACCTTTCCTATGTCATTTTGTCCACGGTCTCCAAAAAGAGAGGACAGACATGTCAAAAAGCAAAACGCATCTCATCTGTTCAAATCCTCAGAATCTCGGATTCCAAGGTGGCCCAAGCCCTACAGAGTCCATGACAAGAACCAAATCGCTCACGTGGTTGTGAATAGGTCAGAGTCCCATCTCATGTATCCGCAACCTATAATGCGGGGATTGACAAACAGGTAGTGGTTGCATGAGATAAGACCTGCAGATTTGATTCCAGAAAAGGATTCGAACTCCAGATATGTGTATTTATGCACGGTGTGTATACAAAGTTCTCACATGTCAATGTTAGAAGGATGAGAATGAAGGGAGGATGAGAATGTCATGTTATGCACGGTGTGTTATTCTCGTCATCTGAATGAAGGGAGTCCCATGTCATCTGTTCTTTTGGGGTTCATACCACCCATATACCATTCAAAAAAAATCAAAGGAAACATGCATCTCATGTGTTCCCGGCATTTGTCACCTTCTCAAGGTATGTATCTCATGTGCATACGGTGCGTTCCAAAACTGACCATAAAGTCCTGTGTGATCTGCCCCTAGTATAACATCATCATGGTTTCTTCATGTTGAGCATTGTTTGGCCTTGTGAATGCATGTTATCACGGTTGACATCCTCAAAGAGATATCAAATCGTACCAGAAACACACATCCGTGTGTGATTTAACTGTTGATCTTCAACCTATACACATTTGACGACACGTCCTGACGTTGCCAGGTGCAGCTGGTGAAGGTCACGCCAGGGGGCCTAGGTGGGGCGTAGGTGGTCTGGGACTGGCGGAACCACCTGTGGCACCTCATGAAGATCGAAGGAGTTGGGGATCAGTCCTGTGCCCTGGGAGTCGCAGTTCGGACACCTCGGGAGGAGGGAGCACTGGAAGTACCCCTGTTTTTCAAGAGGGGTACTATGTCGGGTCATGTTCTATGGGATCTATGGGCCATAGGATCATGTCGGGTCATGTCAGGTTATATTAAACTACCCTGTTTTTCAAGAGGGGTACTATTTCGGGTCATGTCCTGTTTAAGTGGACATTATACCGATGGATATTGGATGGTAAATGCATGGCATAGTGGGACGTCTACAAACTACCTGAACTGGGTAACATATGGTAAAACGGTCCACATATGGTAGAGCTGCTTTCATCGGGTGCAAGAAATGGAAAGACCCTTTGTTTCCTCAAAGTGCAAGGATCAATGGTTGCATGATTGGAAGGGATTCCTTTCGAATCAATGACTGGGTCCCACCATGAATGCATGATGTTTGGGAGAGAGCACTAACTTGGTTCGATCCTGGTGAAGCGCTATCGGATGCATTACTACTGCCTTTTCGACTCTGCTGAAGTTGTGACCTCACCGAGGTCTTCCTTGACACTCTCCGTGTTTGGCAATCTGAAATCTGTAGTTCCTGGGCAGAGACAAGGAGAGGTCACGGGTCAGCATCTATATATATACATTTGTAGCCGCCCCATGCGAGGCATCCCAGGATTTTTGGCGTGCTGAGTTTTGTTTGCATAAGTTCCGCCAATTGCACAAAATGCGGTCAAAGACCTCTTAAAGCTCGCAAAGAAGAAATAATATGTTTTATCAATTTCTCAAAACATACCCCTGCAGCAAGTTTGAATCCCCTGCACCTGCTTGATGTGTTTCACATGACCAAAAACATGTTCCAAAAAGCGGACTCCTTTGGCAGCTACTGGTGACTTAGTTAGGCTTAGGCTTAGGTCTGGGATAATTTTCCACAAGTGAAACCTGACTATTTGTCTTCAAGGATTCCAACATGGGAGGACAAGCTGGATCGATGTTCAACTGTTTAGATGTACAGCTCCTCTTCAAGTTTAAAGGTCTTTGCTTCAGACTTCAAGAGACTTCAAGAAGACCCTGGACATCAAAGCATTGTTTCCATTTTTTTCCCGCATGGCATGAAGCGGAACATGAACAAGGCTGGTATTCATCCACCTATAGGGGAATTTCTCATGTGTCATGATCAGCCCAATGATCACACAGCACGGACCAACATGAAGAAACACCGAAGGGTTTCCAATGCATTACCCTACGTAACACTACTAATGCATCTCCATGTTTCGCACCCCTTTGAAGGTTAGGGAATATACCTGTGTCGTTTTGCAACAAACACCAAACACAAATTCACTTGCAGAAACCAATCAGCTGTCTCACTCATGTCCCACATCCTCTTTGAGTGCCCAGCATTCAGCTGTTTCTCAAAGATCCAGGTGACCATCCTTTTCTCCATTGTCGTCTTTGGAGAGCAGACCACCGGGCTGCAGTGGTCTGGTCTTCTCTTGGCCGCTGGGATTCAGCCATGACCCGGGGCGTCCAGAGTCAAGTCGGCTCCACTGCCATGACCTGTCAAGCCGCCCAGAAACCCTAGGGCACCAACTACCTCCATTTCGAAAATGGTTGGGGTGGGTGCCAAGGGGTCCAACGGTCTAACGGTCTAACCACCTGGGCCAGGAGCCTTGGGGCCTTGGGGTATGTCACCTTCTACGCACCTAAACGTACATGGAACCTTTGGAATCTGGGCAGCGCTTCTTCCAACCCGCTTGGCATCGCTTGGACCCCACCAGCATCGCCGAAGCGACGTCCCACGGAGTGAAGAGGAATCGTTCCGAAAGGCATTGACGGGCATGCTGATCTACGTGACTTGGCGAAGCGGGGGAACGTGGGGGGGAAGTCCTTCCCCCGTTTGGCCTCCGTTTTCGTACCGAACCTGAGGTTCGGTGGGACTGGGGTGGGTGCCAGGAGGGTCCAAATACCTTCTGAGGAGGTACTTGGAGGTGTATAGGGTTATAGATTGGGACCTTTAAATGGGCTCATATACCAGGACCCTCCAAGAGGGTGTCTATTTATAGCCCCTTAGCTGTGATTCGGGGTGTCCATTAACCATCCCGACTGGGGGTCCTGGTAGAAAGGCTATTTCGAAGGGTATGTCTTTTGTTCGACCAAAATGTTCGACGCTTGGAAGGTCGGGGGTATACGGCTCTCAAAATGTGCTCCTGGAAGATCCCGAAACCCAATCCAAACGGTTTGGCAAAGAGAAAAATATGAACACGTGTGGCCAAAATATAAAGCATGCAACATGTTTTTGTTTTAAGCTGCTTTGTACTCTTAAACCATTTGGCCACTGTCACCCAGATGAGGCATGAATGCATGAACGATTTGTCCAGGAACACTTGTTCAACTTCGTCCAGTTTGGCAGATCGCCGCCGCCACCCTTCCAAGATCTATATTAGAGTCGGCTTTCTTGGGAGCTCCAAGGCTTCTGCATGACCTTCTGAAACCTTTACCAGATGGTTGAGGTGTCCAGGTCTGGTCTGCATCATTTGGAGTTCCAAGCCACGGCCCTGTAGCATTTGGAGCCCCAAAAAACGAATGGAAGGACCAAGGCCGTGGACCGATTCCAGGACTGCCGAGAGCAAATGCCAGTCGAAGATCGGACAGTCCAACTATAGGATCCGAGAGCAAATCCTCCCAACAGATTGACTCCACGATAGAAGTGACGGGTCCTCCGCATGTGATTCTTGGGACCCGTCGTGTGAAGATCCACTCCACTTCAGGTCTGAAAGCCGCTCAACAAATCGCTCTAACATTGATCCTCTTGGCACTACATTAGAGAGATAGAACTATAGTATTATATATAGATACCCCATGACATCCCTAGAAGTCCACATCGGCTCTACATTGCTCACTGAAGTGGAAGTTCCTTTTCACTCGCGTCACCCACTCAGAGCAATGAATCACCAACAACAACAACAACGTTAACAACAACAACCAATTCCATGTCGACGTTTTTTGGTTGTTTGTAACTTTCGACTTTGGAGTTGCGCTCCCCTGACACTCCCGCGACACTTTTAGTTTAAAACAAACAAGAACCGCCGGTTGTGGACTGCACTCCTACCGACACCGGGCCTGCGCCAGTTGCGGACCGAACCGGACCAAGGCCCGGATTAAGAACAAGTCCGTGGCCGTGGACTCCTTAGCCCATGCGGGCTACCAGG